TGAAGAAAGAGAATTTAATATATAACTACATAGTTTAAATATATATACATATTTATTCATATATATATATATATATATATATATAGCTACATATATATATTTTATTGGGGTATATTAATTTGAATTTCTATTAAATAAATAAACTTTTCATATATGTATAGACAAAATTATATTTTTTAACTATAAAATTAAAAATTATATTTTCAGAAATACAGATTATAAAGATTTACCGATCACATTTATATGTTTGGAAAATTTAATTGATCCAAACTAAATCATTTTACATTATTTCCCACAAAATTTTTAATCAAATTTGTTATCAAATCTTCTATGGTATAAAGAAACTGTTTTTCTTAATTTTAAATTATTTTTTTAAAAAAATATTTATATTATGTATAGATGCTCTGTCATAATTATATTGTTTCTTATCTCAGCTATATAGATTCTATGTCAAATATAATTTGCGCACATTTTTTCTTTAAATAATAGAGAGCACTACAGAATTACGTCTGTTTCAAAAAAGACATTGGCATTTTTCAATTTTTCAAGGGAATGCTTTTACTGCATACGAATAATTATTTATTTAAACTAAAAAAGAAATAAACAATTATCTTTTTAATATAATATCAAACCTACTGAAATTTTAAATGTAGAATGGTTATGAAAAAAAAAATTATACATTTTCCTACTTACATTTCTATCAAAGATTTTCTTAACTTTTAAGATTCTCTTTTTTCTCCTTCCCTTTTATTCTTATTTAAATTGAAAAAAAAAAATTTAAAATTCATGTAATTTCATAAAGGTTTCAGAAATGAATGCCTCACACATTTTTATCCAATTATTGCCATCTACAAAATATAACAAAAATTAATAAATATAGTTATCAATAAATGTACTAAATAAATATATCGAATATAACAATAAAAAAATAAATTAGAACTCTTTTAGAAATTATTTTTGATCATAATTATGTTATGTGTTTATATATATATATATATAATTATATAAGTGTATATTTATATTTAAACGTGTAAAAATAGAAAATAATTATATTCTTAATTATAAAAACTAAATATACATATGACAATATATAAATATAATGTCATAAACTATTAATTAATATAAATAAATTATTAAATTATTTTGAATAGAGTTTAAGATTATAAGATTAAAAAAATTCTGTATATTATATTTTTTTATTATTAATTTTTTGGTTTTGCTGTTAATTGGCTTCGCATATAGAGTATTTGTATTAATTAATATTTAGTTTATATAAATATACTTTTCTCCTATATTTTATATTTTTTTTTGTTTTTTTTTTTTTCAAAACAGACAAATATTTTTTCTTAATTTTATTTATTATTTTGTATCTAAATATAATATAAAATATTTAATTTAACGCAAGAAAACACGGACCCTTATTAAAAAAATAAAATAAATAAATAAACTCACCACACAAAATAAAGATAAAAAAAATATGTATGTAATATATTATATGAAGCCTTGAAAACAAAAGTAGCTGTATTTAAAATAATATTTATATGTATATATAATAATAATAATAAAAACATATTAAAATCGTTTTCGTCATTTAATACTTCCGAAAACAAAAAAAAGTCTTTAGTTCTCCTACTAATAAAAAAAAAATTGGTTAAAGAAATATTAGAAATTCCTGCTGTTATTGTCATCCAATAAAATTTTAATAAAAGAGTATGAATATGTATATATATATATATATGTAATATATATATAATTTCATATGTATATATGCATATCATATACGGATTTCAATAACCGTCAAAACAATTGAGCGGGAATTTATTACATAATTGTAAACTTGAACATATTCAGAATCAACTGTACCAAAATTCATGTACAAAAAAATTATTTGGCTAAAATAACTTTGATATTATCATAAATTAATACCGTGAATATTACTGAATTTCTAAATATATTTTTAAATATATTTTTTTCCCTAATAAATCAATATTGCCTTTAATTTTTATGTTAAAAAAAAGTCTATCACAATAACATAGTTGCAGTGCGTTATAAAATTTTTAATTGACATTTGAATCAATTCATTTTTTTTGGCATTTGAAACAATTTCTCTAATTGCTTGTTTTAATTTAAATGCCAGAACCTCAATACGAAATTTACAATAACCTTTGTATAAATAATTATACAAATAATTAATATCGTAATTTGGCGAAAGAAAATAAATTAAGACGCCACTAAATATCTCGCCGTTAAATTTCACCGTTTTTTCCATTTCAACTTTCACCGTTTTTTGCATTTCAAACACAAAGTTAATATGCATAATGCCCAGATTGCTGTCTTCGAAGCATCCTAATTTTTCTAAAGGAGTTATTTAGAAAAATTACTCCTTTAAAGTAAAAAATTTTGTAAAATATTTTATATTATTTAAGCTTTACTATAAACATTATGCATGAAAATGTGTTTAAATTTTAGATTATTGAACTAAATTTCTGAATTTCTCAATTCTTGATACGAAAAAATTGCTTTAGAGCTTATATATATAATTTTTATAATCCTCACGATCTTCTACCATATGTGTATATTTTGAAGTTTGGTACTAAAGTCATTGTTGAATTCTGTTTTCCTCCAATTTGTCACAAGAAGGCAAACATCAGCTTATCGAATTTTACATATTTATTTCGACACAATTACAGAATGAGCTTAAATTTTATTGCTACATAGAAGTACAATCACAATTTTTTTATAATTTTATTTATTTATTATTTTTTTTATCAAATTATTCCTTAATTTTAATTATTAAACTATTTTTAAATAAAATTATTTTCAAATATAAATAATTTTATAAATTAAATTCGTTTTTCTTTTTCTTTAATTTTTCGCTATATATTTTTATTAAAACATTGATTTTAAATATAGTTTGTTTTAAAATTTTAATAAATAACAGCAACTCTAGTATATTATCATTATTTTATTGCAAGTTTTTAATATATATTTGTTTTTTTTTTTGCTAATTAAATTGTGTAGGTAAAATAGGTATGTATGTATATTGTTTGAAAATATTTTTATCGGAAGTTTAAAAAACAATTTGTTTTCTTATCATTTTTACGGATGCGTAATACATCTGATATCTTTGTAAAATAAAAATGTTCGATAACGAATAAAAGAAATTTTGAATAAATTTACGTATTTGTAAATAATACAAAAAATTTATATTTTTAATTTAAATAAATTTAATTTCATTAATATTTATGGCATATATACGCATTAACATAATCATATATACATAATGCGATTCATGTTCCATGCATGACGCATAGCATCCATTGTTACTCAGATTTGTCTGTAAAAAAAATCAATTTTGAGATATCTAATTCTGAACAAAATGTTTCATTCAAATTAAAATCATATTTTCAAACAATAAATTTTTATTTTACCTTTCCTTATTTTTCTTTGTTTCATTAATTAATTCTCAATTAAATTAATTTCTTTTAGTAATTTTTAAATTATTTTGTATAATTGAAATTTCAGAACAGATTTTTAATTGAATTTTACCTTATTTGCATGGTTTGACCTAAATATTTTAAAATTAATTAACTGTTATACATATTTAGAAAATTCAGTCAATAAAAGTGGGTTTACACTTGTATACATAATCAATTATTTTTATACTTTAGAAATCATGTTAAAGAATAATTTGTGAAATTTATACACACAATTCATTTATATTGCATTATAAAACTTAGAAAACTTCCAAATTGAATAAAAATATGATTTAGTTTTTTTCTTAAAATATTCATAGACACATGGAAATAGAAGTTCATATTTATTTGTACGAGTACATACGTAAATGGAAATAGAAAAATATTACATTTTTCCTGATGAATTCCAATTGATTGGAATTCCATTTTTCCTAATGAACTGGTTTATTTCTATGAAAACTAACATTGATAAAAAAAATTTTTAAAATCTGTTTCCATTAATTTTGTTTTCCAAAATCGTAAATTATAAAATTTAAATGAATATGAAAATTTTTTTTTTTAAAGAAATAGATTTACGTGTAAATAACAATAAAAGCGAAAAATTGTAAATGTCATTTAATATGTTAAATTGTTCAAAATGGAGAAAATGTTTGCAAATAATTTTCATTTCTTTGAACCATTTTTAATTTAAGATTAATTTAATCTTAAAAACCCTAAAATATACTAAATTTTTAAGTACTTAAGTGAATAAAATTTTTGTTGCTATAACAACATTACAATTAATAAATATTCTCATAAAATAAATTATAAATTTAATATTACTTATACAAATTAAAATAAAAGATTATTTTTTATCTATTATTTATCTATTATTATAATATTATCACTATATTTATTATATATTTTTATATTACTTTTATATTTTTATTTAAATTCCATTTTGTATACACGACATTATTTATTTTTCACATGCAATTGCATTGTAATTTGTTTGCGCATTTTCATTATAATTTTTTAATTAGTCATAATCATCAGCATTTAACATTAATATACATTAACATTTGATATTGGATGCTCTAAATGTATATGTATTGTTATAAGAAAGTGTGTATATTAACGATTAATTATACTTATACAATACTTGTTATATAATTGTTTACATGATTATAATTTTAAATTTATATATATATATGGGTGTCCTTAATTTGTAGTTTAAATATTATTAAACGTAATTTGAATAATTAAAAAAAAAAATTTTCAAAGTTAAATCATATGGATTTAGCAAGTTAAAAAACAAGCTATATATAAATATAGATACTTAAAAACTAGCCCAAAAACCTCCTTTAAAAATTTATTCTTAGTTATAAATGACAAAAAAAATATATTTCAACGTTAATTTTCTAAATAATTATATATAAACATATGAATCAAAAAAAAAAACACACAACTATATATTCATTTAATAATTCAAATTTAATTATAAAAATTTTAAATAAATAAAATTAAAAATTATTCAAATAACAGAAGAACAATGGGAAAAGGATCTTGAAGCTGAATTACAGGAATATGAAGTTGTTAATAGTGGTGCATCAGGAGGAGGTGGTGGAGGTGATAGCGGAGGTGGAGGTGGAAGTAGTAGCGGTGTAATACGTAAACGTAATAGTAACAACAGTGGCAGTGGTACTAGTACTCGTATCAATGATGGTGAAGACGATGAAGACGGAGAAGGCCAATTAACAATAGCAACAACAAATTTTAGAAATAGAAGTCCATCAAATAATGATTGGGAACAATACGCCGACCTCATTGATGAAACCGATGATTTAAAGTAATTAAGAGCTTATATCGTAGTTTTTTCTAAGTTAATTATATTATGATTTTTGATTAAAATTTTTCAAAGTATTGTTTATTTATGTAAAAAGCATAATATAACAAAACATGCGAAAATTTTAATCAAACTTAATTATATTTTGTTATAGTTATTATCCATTTAGTAAGTAAGAAACAGAATAAAAAAAAAATCTCATCTAAAACAATTTTTAATAATTTTTATAAATTATTTAAATTTTTACATGACTATTTTTATTTTTGTTTTAAATTATAAAATATATACATATATAATAAAACCGAATTCAATAATAATAATATTAAATAAAAAGCAAAATATTAAATATAAAAGTACGAAAAATATTAAAAAATCTTTTTTCTTTTCGAAATAAAGAAAAAAAAAACCCCGTTTATTTATGTATAGTGATGTTTCTTCTAATTAAAAAATATTGAAGTTACAAAGTACATACATACGTACATTGCTTTTCAGCATTTTATTATAGAAAATTTCATTTTCCAATTTTAAAGCACATGTTATGCAGTTTTCCCACCTTTACTCTTAATATTTCGCTTCATATTCTGCATTTTATACCTTGTTAAAATTGTTTTCAACCCAATTAATTGCATTTTCCATTCTAATTATAATTATTTTCAAGTTTTCATTCCAATTTATTAAATTTCTACCGTTCATAAAAGTATAACCATGTATTTCTAATTTTTATTGCAATATTAATCTTGATAATTATTAATATATTTATTATTATACATTGCATATGTACTTATAACTTCATCTCTAAATGTAATAATGTAATATTCAACTTGTTATGAAATAAAATATTTATTATAGCAATTTTAAGAATACTTTGAAGTTTTTTGCTCGTTTCATTTCATAAATAAATTACTTGCATATTTTGATTACATTTTGTAATCTTTTTTCCCTTTGTATAAAAGAGGATGAAAATTATTTCAGAATGCAATTTAAATATATTTAATACAAGTAATAATAATATACAAAACTAGGAAATTTTTCACGCGTATAGCAATGAAATAACTTCAAAGAATTTCTTAAAATAATAAAAAATATATGGAAATTAAAAATTTTTAAATCGTGTTTCTTTTTTATTTTGAATTTTAATTTATTTTCTAACTAATTCTAAAATAAATATTTCATATTCTGTAAGTCGCCACACTTGACGTGATAGGCTGTTATTCAAGAATATTATAATTTTTGGTAATCCTGAATACTGAAAAACAATTAAAATTCTTTTCAATAATAACCCATCCCTGAAGTGAATGCGACTAACAGAATATGGATGATTTTTTTTTCATAATTATCATTTTTATTTAAAAAAAATAAGTAGAAACGATAATACAAAGCAAAAATAAATGAGTTTCCTATCTTAATGATAAAAATTGAGTAACCATTAAATAATTAACAACAAAACGATTCAAATGTACGGCGTAAAAAATTATATAAAAAATAATTAAAACAAAATCTTTTTCCACTTGTTCGGTAACACGTAAGATACGTTCAAAAAAAAAATAATTATAAAAATTTTATTAAATATAAAAAAAAATATTTATAAATATTAAAAATAAATAAATTAATTAAAAAAAAACAAAAAAAAAATCATATATAAAGGAGAATAATATTAGCTAATTTATTAAAAATTAAAAATAATTATAAATAACAAGCAAAAATGAGGGAAACTATATAATGTAAAATATAAAATTACAAAAAAAAAAAAGAAATTTTTAAAAATCTTGTATTATAATATAAACAAAAAAAAATAAATGAAAATATACAAAACTTATTACTACCATTATTTATTAATAAAAAACAACAAAAACAATTATCATTAATATTTACATATATACATATATATGTATATATATATATAAATTTATAAATTAATGTAATTAAAAAGAGAAAGATATGTATTTGTAAATAAGTAAAAAAAAAACAAAATATATAATAAAAACTTTTATTTTAAAAATATTTTTAGAAATTTGTATATTTTTTCTACTTACTTAATTTTATTAAATTTATTTTAAAATTATAATTTTTTTATTTATACCCTTGCACTCATTTTTGTTGTTTTTTTTTCTTTATATATATAAAACCTTTTACAATTGCCACTAACTTTCAAATATATAACAATTTTCAACTAAAAATTTAAATTTATTACAAAAAAAAAAAAAACAGTTTTAATATAGAATACTTTAATGAACCTGTTAAAAAAAGTAAAAATAAATAAGAAAAAAGAAATTATATTTTTAAAATTAATAAAAATGAACACATATACATAAAAACTTTCACTTTGACTTCACATATACGTAGATTTTCTAAAGTGTCATTATATTTTTATGTTTTATTTTTATGTTTTCAATATTTTTAAATCAAACATTATTAATTTTTATTTACAATTTAACTATTTCTTTAACTTTAAGGTCGCGCAAAATAAGCAAAAAAAATAAAATGTATCTGTATAAGCAATAAATAAAATATTTGCAATAGAAACTTTTTTTAAGCGAAAAAAAATTCGGTAAATTTTGTCTTGGTGGTGCTAAAAGGCAAATTTATAAAGAACTCTCCCAATCAATTGTAAAATAACTTTTAATGTAAATTTCCCTTTTTTAATGTTTACCCTTTTAATGTAAATTTTTTTATATAATATTATTATTCGACATCTAAATCACTGTTGGGACGTTTTCTATTTAGAGCAAAAAATGCTTCTTTTAGAAGACGCTTTTGCTGCGTTCCTTCTCTTTTCCAAAACATTGTATTTTATTTTGCTGTGTTAGACTGAGTTTTCAAAAGCTTATATTTATTTCAATGTAAAATAAAAATATTTTTCAAACGCGAAGTATTTCCCTTAAAAAAATTTTTTTTTTTTAACCTTATTAACATTAAGCAACGGTAACACTCATATTTTTAGCATTAAATTTTCGTTTTCAAAAAAAAAAAAAATAAAATATTGAAAATTTTTAAATTTTATTCAATTTTGAAAAAAATAAAGCTAAAATCTTGTTTTAAATCTTGTATATTGTTTAATATAAAAAAGGTATAAAATTGCATTTGATTCGGTGCTCTCCGTATTTTCGATTTTACTCAGTATAATCCAAGGCCCAATAATGATCTGAATCCCAAAATATTTTCATAATTTTATTAAATCAATACAAATTTATATTGCACCACTCTCTTCTTATTTTATTCTTTTTTTAACTAACGACGTCAATCATGCATGTTATAAGATTTCATCCAAAATTATATTTATTATCCCAATGAAAACTTTACAAGTCAATTGAATTTCCTTTCTAAATTTTATTTAAAGATATTTTTAGATTTTTTATTGTTTTTGTTGTGTTTTAATTTTTTATTAAATTTCAAAAAAAAAGAACTAAAAAAATATAAAAAAAAGTAATTTCTTTTAATTGTACTCTTATATATAAGAATTATACAACTGTAATTATTTACATTTAAAAAAAAAATCTGTAAATGTATATAAGTGAAATTTAAGCCCCATTTAATTATTATAAAAACAAAAAAATATTTAATTATGAATTATATACAAATTTCCAAAAAAAAAAAGTAAATAATAAATTCAACAATATTTTATTGCTTGTTAGAGTTTGGTTATATTATAGTTCAATTATATTATAAAATTAAAAAAAAAAAAAAACAAAAATAAGCCAGAAAACAAAATGAAATAAAAAAAAGGATTTTAAAAATCTCAAATAAACAAAAACGCAGAACATATTTAATAAAATTAAACAAAAGTATAATTAAAAAAAAAATAGTTTTTAAATTATTGAATAGAAAGTTGAATTAAAAATGATTATTAATTATTATTATATAATTAATTATATATAAAACAAAAATAAATAATTAAACATTAATTATGATTATATAATTTAATTTTATAATTCATTTTTTTTTCTCATAATTTTTAATTTTAATTCAAAACACTTTTTATAAAAGTAATAATCACATTACCCTGGATAAAATTTTGTTAAATGTATTAAAAATATATCCGTGAAAAATAAAATTGAAAATTATTTTCAAAATTCATTTTAATTCAATATTGAAAATAAATATAATAATTTTTTTTTTGTTCTTATTTAAATAAAAAGTTTATCTATAATTACACACTGTAATTAAAAATACATGGCCGTGTATACAAGAAAAAAAAAATTGTACAAAAAAAAATTGAAAAATCGGCCTCCTCGATATTTTAAGTAGTTTACATAGACTTTTAATATACATACACATATTTAAATACATATATATATATATATATAAGTATATGTAATTATACATATGATATAATCAAAAATATTTCTATTTTTTTATTAAGTATTTTAAAATTTTTATTTGCACATATGCGAATGCCTTTGCAGTACATTGCATCGTAGTACTAAAATCCATATGCCTTCAGTTAGTTTTTTATTAAAAGTAAAAAAAACGAAAAATTTAATGGAATAAAGTCACCACCACCAAGGCCGTAAAAATTAAAAAAAAAAATTGATGTTTTTCCCTATTATCCCTTTTTTTCCCTATGATTCCCTTTTTTTTTTTAAATAATTTGGTTTCCTAAAAAGAAAAAAAATTTTTAAATAATGCAAAAAAAAATTGTATAAGCCATGAAATTTTAACATTAACCGATTTATACCCTTGATCGGAAAGGTAAACTATTTATTTATAATTATTTTGAAATATTTGATAATCGTTGTTTTCCTTTTTTTGTTATTATTGAAACCTTTATTATTAATTACTTTTAATTAATCAAATTTAATTTGGTTGTTTTTTTGGTGTAACATGAGTAAATTCAGTGGTGAATAAGTAAGGGAATTTAAAATATAACAATGACCTTTCCTTATTGTTTTTTTTTTTGTTAATTTGCATATTGTAAAATTAATGTAATGTCATTTTAGATTTAATAAAAAATAAATTTATTAAAAATAATGTTTATCAAAGAAAACAAAAAAAAAAGTTATAAGAGTAATTAAAATTAAAAAGAAATGATTATCAAACTAAAAATGAAAAAAAAAAAGCAAAAATCATTCTATTAGAACAAAGAAAAAAAACCTAGTTATTAATTAAAAAAATAATATTTTCCATTCTGTGAATTTTTCCGTGTTTCATCTTATTCTTCCCATATTTATTATATATAGACTATAAATTATGATAAATTTATCTATATTTATCTATGTATCTGTATATGTATTATACAATATAAAAAAAACAAAAAAGCAAAAAAAAAAAACAAAGATGATATTATATTAACAATTGAATTAAAAACAAAAAAAAATAAAGCAAATTTAAAATCCTACAAAAAAAAATTATTATATATTATTTAACGTATAAAAAAATGATAAAAGCATTTTTGTTTTCTTAAAACAAAATCCAAAAAGGTATCATAAACTGAGCATCTTATTAATATTTTCATTTTATTTTCATTTATTTACTATTTTTTTAAAGTATGATACAAATACTAATAACTAAAATAGAAAATATTTTAAATTTAAATTACACAAAACAGAAAAAAAATAACAAAACGAAAAGAATAAGAACTTTAAAGGAAGACAAAAACAATTTGAAAGTAAAAAATATTTATCATTGTTAACAAAATGAAGAAAAAAAATTTGAAAAAAAAAACGTCAAAAATTTAATTATTGAAAATAAACATTTAAAGAAAAATAAAGGAAAAAAATATATGATTATTACTCAAATAAAAAAGAAAAAACTTCAGATGTTTATTTTATTCAAATTAAAATATACTCACATGCTTATATTTAAAGCGGGAAACCCTTGACTAACTTGGCTTTTTTTCTTTATCCTTTGGTAACTTTCTTAAGACTTGCTCAATTAAAATATTCAATTTACAATACTCGTATAATACTAAAATATGTTGAGAGAAATTATGCTTAAAGTGGTGAATAGACCGTGACTTCAATAATGCTTTATAAAAAGTTTAAGTACGGTATTAATACGATTGTAGTGCCATGTGAGAGCTTTCAATACCTTTATATAAGGTTTTGATACATTTTGGAATACAATTTTTACAATATTAATACGTACTTTGACATTTGTTTGAAAATTTCAATTTAAAGTTCTGTGCAAATGTGAATTTTCAACGGACGTTACCACATCATTAAAAACATAGGATTTTTATGCTGCATTTTAGGAAAAAAACTTAATAACTAGCACTTTATTGCTAAAAAAAAATGCTACTTTATTTATATATAAGTATTGAAATCACGGAGAGTCTTGTATACGTACCGTTTGATAAGAAGAAAATTTCTCATATTTATTTTTTCGATAAACTACATTGAATTCTTGTGTTCATTGCACATTCTTTTGCATTTGCATAATGTATACATTATATAGATACGAGTATCCAACCATTCTATTAGTTGGATCACTTGACGTATTGGGTTGCTTTTCAAAAATTACAAAATTTTATGAATAAAATCAATTGAAATAATACCAAAGGAATATTAAACATAAATAACAGAAATTGGAAAATAATGAAAATGCAAAATGTAACTGTAAAAACAGAACTAAAGCAGGGAAAGGCAACGGCGGACGATTTCCGTTATTACCCCAGAACAAGAACGGAACGACAAAATCAATTGAACAGTATTTTGCATGTAATAGTTCCTTCTGCTATAAGAAAGTTTTTTAAAACTTTATAAAACTTGCAAAAACTTTATAAAGTAAATACTAAGTGATACTATAATAACTTTTTAAAGAAAATTATGACGCTTTCATTTTCTCAATGTTTAAACTGTTTCAAGTTTTCTAAAGTAAAATTTAGTATTTTAAAAACTTTTAAATTCTTACAGCTGTCGAAACATACGTTTTTCATGTCAGAAGGTTTTATTTTTCAAAAAAAAATTTCCATCAATATTTTTTTTCCAAACTTTTAAATATGTAAAATAAACAAAATTGTTTTTTCTAAGTCTCACCCTTTTATAATTCAAAAATATAATTTTCGATTTATTGTGTAACCAAAAAATATTTGTTTATGTTTGACTTTGAAATTCGATGTTTATCACATATACATATGTATATAAAGTTTTTAAAAGTGTTTCGAAGTTTTCCGTCTGATTTATTTTTTTTTAAATGAGATTTCTTTTTGCGAGAAATTAAGTCATTGTTTCTCTTTTCTTTACACACACGTGTAAACAGATAATGTCAAAAAACCGGCACTGGTAAAATAGGAATGTGGCGGTGAAATTGCGGCAATAACTTCATAATAAGATTCTGGGCAGTCCCTATTAAAAATGGATATTCTATATGAATTCTGATATTTCGCAGCGGAAAATCTCTCGCGTTCTGTTTTCAACTTAAACTAAAACACAATAAATACATACATAAAAAATACAAGTATCGTTATCACTTATTTTTGTTTTTATACATATACGTCAAAATCTTCAATTTAATCTGAATCTGATGAAATTCGTATGTACCCTGCTTGACATCAAGCTTGTCTGACGGCAAATAATTTCTATTCTATTTTCATCACACACTGTCATATTTTTAAAAGTATAGTGTTGACAATAAACTTTTTGTGAAAGCTTGGCAAAGCGACTAGCGGATTTTCATTTTGATTATAATTTTATGAAAAAATAAAAATATTTCAAAGTAATATGTAACAATTTTTACTTTCAACCCAGAATTTTCAATTTATCTCTATTTATACTCTGTATGAGCAAACACCCTTTTTTTGAGAAAATAAATAAAATTAAAATTTTTCCAATAAAAATGAAAACGAACAAACCTTCAATATGTACAAGTAACTTCACAGTTGTAGTAATATTCATTTTGACAGAGAAAGCATAATTCAGGAATTAAAGACAGAGGAGTAACATTCGGAATTACACAGTTTCATTCGGCAAAAAGTGATATGATGCAAAGCTGTTTTAAAAATTTTTCAATTGTACCGATTAACGAAGGGTAGAAAAGTTTTAATAATTTATCAAAGTATGTATTTGGTTTATATCTAAGGCTAACAATTAAAATTAAAATGTCACAAATGACTTATAACGAATCTCATATTGAATCGTCTGATGATGAAAGTAAGGTTTACATTATTAATTTGCAATTAAGAGTTGAAAAAATTTTTTAACATTTTTCTAGATACTAATGATCGTACAATTCGATGTGATTTTGAAAATTTCAAAAAATGGCCTGCTGCAGCTGCACAATTGCTGATAAATTTAAGATTATCTTTAGACGATAAATTTTCGTCTGGATATGTTATGAAAAAAACATTGTGGAAAAAGATATCTCAAATACTAATTGAAAATGGATTTGACTTTAACTCTGCAGCTTGTGAAGCTAAGTTTAAAGGTATTAAACTAACCTATAAGAGAAATATCAAGAAATTAAAAGAAAATCCTGAAGCCGAAATTATATGGCCGTATTTTAAACTACTTCATGAACATTACGACCAAAACGAGTATAAACTTGGGGACGAAACCGATAATTCTGGTTGCAAAGATTTTTGCGAAGAAGTATCAGGAAATGAAACTGGAGGTATTCATATTAAATGGCCATATACAGCGATTGAGCTACTCTTAACATTTAGATTGTCAATGGAGCATGACTTTCAATGTGCTTATAGATCCAAAAAATCACTCTGGAATAAAATAAGTACAGAGTTGAATAAGCAGGGATTCCTTTATAGTGGAGAAGCTTGTGCTACTAAATTTAAAGGTCTATTGGTTACTTACAAGAGAAATTTGAAAAATAGTGAGGAGCTTGGAAAGGAAATTGTATGGCCATATTTCAATAAATTGCATGCAATTTTCGGAAGTAATGAAAAAACCTTGACCAAATATATCAGTCAAAATAATGAAATTCCAAGCAAACTAAATTCTACCAATGAAGTTGATGACGAACCACTACTTCACATTTCAGATAATGAAGAAACAAAAATTTGGAATGCGGTTGCAACACGTTTATTAATTAAGAAGAGAGGCGAAATGCAAAATGAGTTTATTACCGGACGTTGCTCAAAAAAGGAATTATGGACAGAACTGGCTGATTCACTTAAAGTTCACGGAATTGAAACGGACGGAGAAGCATGCCGTGAAAAGTTTAAAGGGTTAGTTCTAACTTATAGAAGAAATCTAGAAAAATATTTTGCTAATAATAAAAAGAATATTACATGGCCTTTATTTAAGCTGATGCATCAAACATTTGGAAACAAAAAATTGCAATCCAAAAAAATATATAAATCTAGTATTAATGAAGAAAGCTGCTTTCAGGAAAACTCGAATGACAGCCTTAGTTTAGCAGATATCAACGAGTTCGTCAACTCCAAAAATTTTTCAGATCACTCAGAATCTGAAGATTGTTGTAAAAAAGAACAATGGAATATAGAATCTGTATTTAGGTTGATCAAAATTAGATTGAAGTTAAAAGAAAACTTTGATTCTAGTCCGATTTCTGAAGCCTCATTGTGGGAAGACATTTCCAAAAAGATGAAGCAACATGATATGCATTTTTCTAAAGAAGATTGTCAAATTAAATTCCAAAGCGTTTTTAAAACGTTTTGCCTCTTCAAAACTCAAAGTATTCTAATTGAAAATAAGGACACATGGCCTTTTTTTGATTTGATGGAGCAAATTTTTCCCGGGAACTCGTATCAGTTAGATTGTAAGTAGCCAAATAAACCGCTCTTTTAAAAAATTATCTAGGTGAATAAATCACATATTTCAATTTTAGACAAAAACCTCGTAGATCTACAAAACGAAAACCAGAAAATCGTTAAGGAAAAATTAAAATCGCATTTATTAATGGAAATGTTTCACTCTTCGTCATCTGAATACGAATCTTTTTCTGAAAATGAAAACAAAATCAACTTGCCACATAAAAAACGTCATTATATTAAATGGAAATTAAGACAGAAACGAATGAAACTTGAAGAAAAACGAAATGAATTGCTGGAGCGAAAAATTGTCGCTACAGAAAGAAAAAATGCAGTAATTTTCGAATTCGTAAATATTTTGAAACAACATAAAAATCTTATTTAGAAATAAAATTTACTGAAAATACGTTTATATTCGTAATACTATGTACAAATATTTAAATATAATAGTACTTATTTATTGAGTTGTTTTTTTCTTTTTATGGGAAGATGAAGTTGAAGAGGATGATGACGAGGAAGAGCTAGTAGAAGAACTGGAACTGGTATCTGAATTGGAGTCTGAGTCGCTACTTGAAGACGTATCGGAGTCACTGCTTGACTCTGAGCTACTACTAATACTACTACTACTGCTGCTACTGCTGCTGCTGCTAGAGCTACTAGTACTAGAACTACTACTTTCAGAAATCTTTGGTTTTTTACGTTTTTTAGGTTGTGACTGGTATCCTTCGTTCTTTATTTTCTTTGCGTCATTTTCTTTTGCCTTAGTTTGCATGTTTTTATTTAGTAGTCTTGTTCTAGAATCTCTATGCAAATATTTCCTTTTCCCTTTGCATTCGTAACTCCAATGACCGTATTCTAGACATTTCTGACATCTTATACCATTTGGAAAAGCTGCTGCTAATTTTGCGTTTCTACAAAATGTTTGTTTATTAAATATTTATCAATTAAATAGGTATGCGTTAAAATAAGTTTTTACTTCCGTTTTAACGCCAGCTTTCGCGCTGCTGGATCATTAAGTGTCATTACTAATTTTCAATTATTTTTTTCATTAAAAATGGTTTGAAATGTACATAATAAACTTCGTGTTTCCTCTTTTTTTATCAACAAGCCATTTATATTTTTTGTTATAGCACAATGTCAATTCCACTGTTGCCAGGTTTCCAAAATTAACCTTGATCGTTTACCACAATTTCAAATTCTATTGAACAAAATTGAAATGAGATATAACACATACCTTAATCCATAGATAACATTTATGGTTACTTAACTTCTTTATTAATTAATTGAGTAAATAAACATTTACATAACAATGTAAAATAACTTCAATTTTCACCTCACACAAAAACTTGTGTCGTGTAAATCATACAACTTGATTTGATTGAATTTGCTGTCATTTTATTAGTTTAACAAAACTACTAAAATGACAGCAAATTTAACTACTAAACGAAAATAAATATTCTTCAAAAAATAAAAAAAAATAAAAGTTAGCTGATCACACTTTGATTTTGTGCATTTGGCTGATATTTCCGATTTTTAGTAGTAGGTTGAATTCGCGTTTGGAGTTCTGATTGCGTGATATCTTATTAGTTAAAACTGCATTGCAATAGTACTCTAAAGTAGCACTGCCAACAAAAACTCTGGTGTAATCCCAATAATGGCTCTCTACTCTCCCAAAAATTATTTTTCTGCTTATTGAGCCATTAAGGTTATGAATATAAAAGCAGAAAAATTTTTTATGCTATCGATTTGACAGAACAGTTCTACCAAAAAAAACGAAATACCTTTTGCAGCAAGTTACAAAACCGTGCAGATCTTCGTTAGAACCGCAAACACAAATTCAACCCCAGTTTTACGTCAGAAATTGATACGCAAACGGCGCGTATAGCTGTCATTTATTTAAAAAAGTTTATTTCTTAATTTCTACTGTATAACAACTTTTAAAAGTTTTGACAGAAAATGTACGCTATAAGTCGACACATCATAACTCTTGGGCACTAAAATCGAATTTGTAAGCTAAAGATATCGATTAAAAATTGCACCTTCCAAAGTTTTTCTCCCTAAAAAGCTAAAAAATTCAATTACAATCGTATTGCTAAAATTAAAATTTTCTCTTTTATATTTAGATTAACAAAATTTTTCTAAACTTTTAAGGGTATCATGTGTGAATATGTCCATGCAACAAAATAACAGCATGGTTTTTCTGGTACCAATTCAAATACTAAATTCAAATAAATACCACTTAAATTCATTAAATATGCTTTAATATTTCTAGCTTAAAAGAAGAATTTGATTAATGTAGGTCAGTGATATAGACCCCGCGGGGTCCATGAAGATCTGCTAGGGGGTTCTTCATACCTTGTAGAAGAGGGTTCCAGCGTAGTTAGGAATCTCATAACAAAAATAAGAAGCAAACTAGACATTATTAACCGAGCAGATTTGAGGATAAACCTCACTAAATCAATGCCAATAGTTGACAATTTATTATCAATCCATCAAATTCATCCCTCCTATTAAATTATTTTTCTTCCTCATAAACATATGATATATTTTGTAAATATGTGATAATGTTGACTGTAAAAGCAAGTAATATGTATGTGTGTATAAGATTGAATTTATTTTTGTTTAGATTTCTCGTGTAAGAATTACTTTACTTTTATTTAAATTTAATAATTAAATTATTTAAATTTAATAAGTTAATTAATTTAATATGAAATTAATTTAAAATGTTTTTTGTTTAACTTTCTCACGTCACCTTGCTACTTTTAAAAATTTAATCGTATCAAAGAAGGAATCAACGACAAAGAGTGTACGAGAGAAAAGTTTGGGAGTCTCTGTGTTAAATAAATAAGTGCAGTCTAAATACATGCATTTGCGGACATTAAGAAAAGTCCTCGGCCCACCTTCTGAGAAAATACGAGGCCCTCGTCCGCATAAGAACGAAGGTAGTGCGAACTGCGTGCTTACTCCGGAGAAGTAGGGTCTGTTATAGGGCTTTGCCCCACACCTAGTTGGGGGAGACCAAGGGATGTATATATTACCTGGTCGCGATGCACTGTCACCCCTTCTCTGCAATCTGCAATCTAGGTGAATGCATAATATATACATACATATATGTAGTTAATTCCTTGTCCAAGTTTTAAATAAAAATAATAGAAAAAAATCAATTGAATTTAAATTTAAACTGAATCACTATGATTATTTATTTTTACAATACTTCAAACTACAGTGTTAATTTTATTTTTCTCAAGTATTTAAAACTGTACTTTGAAAATAAATTTTATACCTTATTACAGAATTTTTGTTTCAAAAAGAAAATTATTAATTCATATGAGCTCTTTAAAATTTTACAGTCACAATACAAAGGTCTATAAAAATTAAGCTTAGTTTGCAATATTCAAATAAATGCCAAAATATAGTGAAATATATTGAAATTTTAGGTGGGCCGAGAAAAGAGATCCTGCATATTATGTATTTGACCTTAATAGTAATTTATTCAAAATTAATTCAAGAAATACATATTTCCATACAAATTTTACTATTACACTTATGATTTAAATTTTTTCAATAGGTTACTGTGTTTTTGTTTCAACTTGGCAATGTGTTTTGGAGAGATTCCTGAACTCGACTTTTGTGCAAATTTGATGTAAAATGGGCTTTTAAATGAGTCTTTCTTGCAAAACTTGCGTCACAAACTTCACATCTAAAATCAATAATCCAATATTTAAAAGAATACACTATAGATGAGTTTTATGCGCATATATTGTAAAAAAGTATTTAATCGCATTTAAATTTAAATTTTTCAGCGTTTTTACTAAAATTTAAGTTAAGCAAAATAAAAATTTTTCGTTATATACATATACCTATCTAAAAATTTTTTCACATTATTAAAAAGAGACCCAAATATGTACAATAGAAAACATGATGCTTTCTAGCAAAAATACTTTTTTACAATATGCAAAACATGAAAATTGAAATTTACCTAAAGGGTTTTTCTCCAGTATGAACTAGAATATGATTTTTTAATATATTAGCATAGGTAAAGGCTTTTCCGCAAGTTGTACATACGTAGGGACGCTCATTAGTATGAACTCTGAAATATTTAGAAAGATATTTAATAAAATTGACAAGAATCTGTTTAACCTTATTTGTAAATCAAAATTTTATGATCAAAAAGTTATAATTTCAACGTGTAGTTATTAAAAAAGTTGTTGTCAATTTTACTGAACAACGTGGGAATCTACCATATTAAAAATAAAAAAATTAAAAAAAGTTTACTAAAATATCATATTAATGAAACTTAATGAAACCTTTCGTGTTTGATTCTCGTGCTGTAATCTCCAAACCTTTTATCACAATAGTGACAGGGATACGGTCTTTCACCTGTAAAGAAATTTATTTGCACATAAAATAAATTGAAAAAAAGATTAATTCAAGATATACCAGTATGAGTTCTCATGTGTCTTTTCAATTGCATCATCTCCCTAAACTGTTTTTTGCATATTCTATAAATTTTTCTAAATTAAAGAAAAAAAAAAACAAAAAAAGTTATGAAAAAATATTTACTCGCATTCATAGTCCATTACATCTGAGTGATATTTTAAATGCCTTTTCAAATGTCTTTTTGTAGGATATTTGTTACCACAAACCTCACACATAATGAAAGTCAACTCTTCACTTTTTTGGGAGCATTTAACTCCATTCCCACGAAATACCTTGTCTTTTTTCAATTCTGGGTTAGCATTAAATAAATGTTTGTTTCTAGTCATATGTCGAGATACTACGGATTCACCACCATAAGCGATTGAAAATTCACAATTACATACTGTACAAAAGGCGTTTTTGTCATCTTTGGCTGCTCTTATCCAATCATATTTTTCAATCCATTTTCTTTTAAAAGTACAAAATCTTCGATTCCCTTTTTTGAAAGAGTCATCATCAATTTCTTTCTTAGTGTTACCTTTTTTCAAAGAAATTTTCGAAGTTGCAGTCTCAGATATTGTTGCTTCATTTTCTTCATCTTTGATGGTATCTAACTGCTCTCTTTTTTCTATTTGAATATTGTTTTTTGAGTCAAAATTGGACAAATCCTCTTGCCAATCTTCAATGTGACAACTTACATCTAAAAAATTTGATTCATTATCTGAACTTACTTCATATTTAATTAATTTGTTTTCAATTTCCTCAGGAGCTGATAATAAAGCCCTTAGTTTATTATCAGACTGTTGGCAAATTATTCTAAATTCATATGACAATTGTAATGTTGATTTACAATGTTTACAAATTTTCTCTGGTAAAGATTTTTCGTTTTTCTCAATCTAAAATTCAAATTTTTTTCTTAATCCGCAAACAGCAGTGTGTAAGGGTAACAAAATAAAAAAATACTTACAAAAACTCCAGAAATATCAAATACTTTTTTTGCAATTTCAACTTCGTCGTCCTTTTCAAATACAGACTCTAAACTAGAATCTTCAAAAATTTGCACGCAAAGGCGACAAGTATTACTGGCTATTTTCATATTTTTTATTTTGGTTAATAATTTTTAATTTAAAAATACTGAAAATTTTGTTATAGCAACTGGTAAACAAAACTTAAAAATTTCCCGAAACTTTTCTCTATAATTCTATATTGTCAAACTACGAATTGTGGGGTTTCCAGATATTCATAGACTTACATGTTGGAAGTTATTCCATGTTTTGTAAAAATTAAAATTGATTTTATATTTTTAAGATGCCATGGAATAATTAAATTTTTTATATTAACAATTCTATTTTAAATATATCATTGACCAATTATGATTTTTAAAGCAAAAATTGAAAGTTAATTTTTGCTTTATATTTTACAACCATAGTGATATCAAATTAATGCCAAAATTAATCGAATTAATTAATCGAAGATAGTAGAGTTACCAAGCTTAATGGGTATAACTATTGCGATTTGCGACATCTATTTGTTTTCATTTGATTTTTATATATTAACATTCCTAGTTCTGTGAGATATGAATAGATGTCCCTACGGTAGCTATTTATGAAAACTGAAATGTTCCTTTTAGATGAAAACAACGAACCATATGCATAATATAAAATTTTATGGCCTTCTTTGTTTTAAAATATATATGTTCACAAACAGTAATGTGTACATTATTATATACCTTCATTTGATGTAGAAAACATTTTGCTCAGAAATTGTCAAAGTTCGACGATTTTCGAAATACATACAGGGTTTGTTGTATTTTATTGAAAGTTTGTTTAGAAACGACTCTAGTGTAAAGATGCCCTTTTAAAATTTTCTGCAGCTACACGGTAAGTTGAATATCAACACATTAATCCTAGTTTTAATAGAAAATACATATGTATTTATACTAAATTATAATTTGGTCCTTCACATTTAGTTAGGTAGATTAATTTCATTAGTTTTTTTTAGATAAAAAAAATTAGATATTAGAGTAAGATTGTGCAAAAATGCCTTTTCAAAATTTTTTCCAATTTAATTTCAAAAAAAGAATTTTCAAAATTTTTTATTTCATTTAACCTTAATTAAAAAAGAAATTCGAATTTTGTAAAGCATGAACAAATCCCTGATACATCAAATTACATACACTCCTACAACCTAATGACAGACTTCAAACTTGATGACACACTTAATGTAATCAAATCAAACAAAAATTTCTTTAAAGTTTAAACATATTATATATCTAATTTTTTGGAAATGTCTTTGATTGGAAAATTACAAGACGAAAATATACCATTGGCAGATGATGATCCACAAGGTAAATTTTAAAATAATTTTGAATACATTAGTACGAAATTGTTACATTTATTAGTAATAATTAATGATGATGATCAGAAAATTCCTAACGGAAGGTCAATGGACTCTTTACAATCATCGGAGTCAAATGAATCTAGTGTCTCTATAGGTAAATTATAAACTTCATTAAACAAAAAGTTTATTTTAAGAACTACCTTGATCGAATTTGTTTATTTTTAGTTGACATAAATCCTGATGAAAAGGAGGAAAAAGCTAGGCTTATATCACAAGTTCTTGAGTTGCAAAATACCTTGGATGACTTATCACAACGCGTCGATAGTGTGAAGGAAGAAAATTTAAAATTAAAATCCGAAAATCAGGTACTTGGGCAATACATTGAAAATTTAATGTCTGCCTCGTCTGTATTTCAATCAACAAGTCCTAACTCGAAAAAAAAATAATTCTATTTGTTAGTATGTATATTGTTTTAAACAAGAATTGAAAAAAAAGACAAATGCGTAAGCATTTTCTAAATTGCACGTTATTGAAATTGAAAACCACATCTTTAGTACTTTTCAAAAGAGCATATCGAGAGATATTGTCAAGTGCTAGATAGCTTTAATGCATATTTGATCATAAAAAATATTTTAGTAAAGTTATAAATTTTGCTCTTGCATCATTGTTTTCCGTTTTAAGGCATTAGTATTACTCTAAGGCTTAAATAATTTTAGTACCTACTTCGCAAATTATATTATTTTATAAACAAAATATATCTTACTTATCAAGAAATAATAAAAGTGAATTTTAAATGGAATAATATGTATTTAAATAAACTACTGTTACATTTTGATTCTGCATATTTCTAAACAACATTATTTTGTAAGGCAAAATGAATGTCATCGGTGCAAATATTTAAAATAATTTTTTGATATAAGTCATTACGTGAATGTTCACAGATTATTAGTCTTTGCGAGCCTAACTTGGAACAAGTCTTAAATACTTGACTGATTGATGGTAATTTTTGTCCTGAAAATGCAGCAATTGCTTCTATCTGTGTGTATACACCTTTGAATATTACCTCCTCGAGACCGGTTCTGGCTACCTCTGCAGATATAGCTTGCAAAAATATTTTTTCTTGTTTCGAGCAACTTTTAATGGCTTGAACTTTAGCACTGGAAATCATTTCTTCCAATGCTTTTTGAACATGATCCATTTTTACTATGGTATCCTGAGAAGTTTGTTGTTTCTCAGCAATTTCGGTTGCTCTTCTGCAAATATCCAAAGCTCTTCGAGCATCTCCAGACACAGCTGCAACTTTTCTAGCTACAAGCTGTAATGCATCGCTTTTAAAAGGATCGTACTCTATCAAGCGGGATTTAACAATTTCCTGTAATTGCTTATGTGTATACGGTTGAAATGTTAAACGCGTCAGACCAAGTCGGGAAGTAACTTTACCTATCAAAAGTCTTTCTGGCAAATCCATTGTATTAGCAATTGATATCACAACAAGCTTTGCTGTTGTTTTCGATGGCCAATCTAACAAATTGTAAACAACATCTTGACGACGATTACACAAAACATCCAATTCATCTACTAAAAGTACAGTCGTTTTTCGCCTGGGAGTAGGAGTTGTAAATCTTTTTTCTAAAAGAGATTGTGACTGTTCCCAGGATAATGGTTTTCCAACTAATTGTTTGTAAATTTGTACATAAGCTTGACGTGGTTCAGTAAGCCTCATACCGTTTATCTCGATAAACTCAAATTTAGGTATTTCTTCATTTGCAGATTTCTTTTTGAGCGCAGAAATAACTCTTGTTACAGTGGCAGTTTTACCTGCAATTGTTAATTTGGATTAAGTAAAATTTAATCTACACGTTATGTTCATATTCTCACCTGTGCCTGGAACTCCTGATATATACATACAGCCTCCGGTTTCACTAACAATTTTATGTTCAACAAAATTGTAAATATTTTCATATTCACTTTCTCGGCAAGGTAAACATTCTGGAACCGTCGAAACATGCAAATTTTCACGAAGTACTTGCAAATCAGATTTTCGGTTATAGTTAAAGTCTTTCCTGTTACTAACAGTTGCTTCCAAAGAGCTTATTTTAATATATTTTTTACGTTTTACAGGGGTTAATTCGTTATTTGTAGCATTTGGATTACTTTTAGCTTTCTCTAGAGACCTGCAAGATGTTTTTGAATTTTGTGTGATTTTATCATAAAACCGTTCTTCAACAATGTTTGAGAGTTGTATATTTCTTTTTGGAGTTCCAGATCTAGAATTAGTTTCATTCGGCGTTCTTAAAATGCTTTTTCTGCGAGTTGCAACTTTGTTTTCATATGGAGAACTTTCGAATATTGTTTTACATTGTCTAATAACCAATGGATCTTTCTTATTATTCATCTTATTTTCAGGATAATAAATAACTGAATTTTCATCAATCACTTCTTCATCCGCGATACTTTTTCTAGATCTTTGAGATACACGTAGTTTTATATTCAAATTATTTGCATTTATTTCGTTTTTATTTATTATTGAATAATTTAGATATTCTGGCTCGCTTGCAGTGCTGCAATCGCTTTCGTAAGTTAGATTACAAATTGCAACAGCACTTCTCTTTTTACTTTTTGAGGTTTTAATAGATTCTGCTTTATGTGCTTGAAGTTTTGTTTCTGAGCATTCTAATAAAGGTAAAAGTTTCTTGACAAATTTGTAACGGCACGCAAATTTCCTGAATTTTGAACTTTTCATTTTAATTAAAGCTGCAGCAGATTCATTGATATTTCCTTTTACTATAGTGCATTTGCCTTGAATTGTTTCAATCGATATATCATTGTCGTATGGCCTATGATCTTCAATTACTTCTTTGTCAAAATCTATTTCTATTTCATCACTATCGTAATGCCTAGCTGGTATAGTTTGAGGCCATGAGTACCATTGGACAATAGCGCGAAAAGGTTCATTTATTAAAGGTGAAAATTTGTCATCGAGCTCATATAATAATAGAATTTCAGCAACATCACATCCCCGAATAGAATCTGAAAGTATTCTATATTAGAATAAATTCCTCTGAAAATTTTTATTTCATTTTTGTACCTTGATCTTTAGCATCTGCATTTGACACTAACACGAAGTCACCACAATTTAATGTAAAAGAATCAAAGAAACACTTTTTGTAACTCCTAATATTTTTGTATTTCAAATTATGGACCAAGTTTGCTGCGGGCTCAACTTGGTTTCCCATCCACAAAACGGGCGCCTCATTGCTTGCAATTCCCATTACAATTATTTATATCCCTGTATCTCTAAACGAAGATTATGTAAAGCTCATATCACGCATTGTTCTTTTAATTTTATCATAATAGCTACACTACATAGTACATAGAATATTTTTACCCGCCAAAGTTATGTTATTGGTTATTCAACTTTCAAAAACACAAAATAAACATCAAATTTTGTAATAGATTATTAATTACAAGTGCAGCCAACTGTTGAAGTTAAATGTTATAGACAAGTAGTATGTATATATTTTTGTAGCAAATTTTAATATAGTGCAGTACTAAAATAAAATGGCTTGGAGTTTGTTTTTGCCGATCAATTAAATTTTTATTAATTTTAATGGAATTATTTCGTCAAAAACCTAGCAAAAATACTTTCAAAATATAATTAAGTGTGCACTGTAAATAATAAATATAAAATATTGTGAATTAATCGCCAGTTTAGTTATTTAAATTGAAATCAAAAATTTGGTTTGACGCAGAAGCTTTGATTGTATGAAAAAGTAGCGGGCGCTTCACCTTTATTGTCTCCGATATTATTTAAGAGCATTTTTTGGCGACTATATAATATGTAAGTTGATAGATTTGAAAAAATATCTCAAAAAGTTTCAATTTATAATATGTAATTTGAAACAAAAAAAAAAAAAAATACCGCATTTCATTATTGAACAGGGTTGATTTTAATTTTGTGCATAAAAAAAAGCCCAGTGCCACAAGGCGAATAATTTCTATCTTATCTATGTATATAAAAAATACAGGCGTGTATAAATTTTTGAAATCTGATTGACATTATTTTTTCGCCATTCGAAGCGAATTGAAAAAAGAGCGTCATTTTGTCATAAGCCGTAAAAATTTAATTTATGACTGAAATGAGAAGCCCCCTCTTTATTTGGAAGCGCCAAATGCAAAAAATATTTTATATTTTAATTGTTTTTATAATAGTTTTAGAATATTGCCAAATGTATTGTAATTTTTTAACTTAAATGTTTACCCGGTACGTCATAGTAGTGGATGATTTTTATTAACAATTATTTCCCTTTTAAAAGGGATTGATTTTGATTTCGCGATGTTTCAAATAAACTTGGATGTACATAATTCATATTCATATGCTTAAATAACAAAAAGTTTAAATATTGTTTCTTAATTAAATCAATTTCTTTTTAGATTGTGTTTGTTAATGTATCAATAAAATAAAAGTAAAAACAAATATGGATGAAGCGAATGAACAAAATTTAACTAGTATAGCTTCTGACAAAAACCAACATCAAGATGAAGATAAAGAAAAGTCGGATGCGAACAAGAGTGAACTAGAATATGAAGAAATTTCAAATACATCAGAAAGTAATAAAAATGAGGAAGAAGAAAATCGCGATGAAGGAGAAGAGGAAGAAGAAAGCGGAAATGTTGGAGAAAACGAAGAAGGAGAAACTGGTAATGTTAGAGAAAATGAAGATGAAGGAATTACTAATGTTAGAGAAAATGATGAAGAAGAAAATGACAATGGTGGAGAAAACGATGAAGAAGAAACGGATAATATTGGGGAAAATTATGAAGGTAAAGAAAATATACATGAGGAAGTTGAAAGCCAGGATAATGAAAGTAAGAGGGACAACGAGGAGGTTGATACAAGTCTGCATTTAGAAAAAGATGATAATTATAATTTAGAGAAGGATGCAACTGAAGGAAACGATGGAAATACTGACGAACAGGATGAAGAAAATAAAGACAATGAAAATTCAATTGCGAGTGATCACGATTCTCAAGAAGAGAATGAGAAGGAACAAGCAGATGTAGAGAATGAAAATGATGAAAATTTAACAAAAAATGATCAGGAAAATAGTAGGCCAGATATAGAAGAAGTTGATGCTGAAATTTCACTTAGTAAAACTAATCAAGAAGATGAAGAAGACGTATTATCAGATGATCGTACTCAAACTACCGAAAAAGTCAAATCAAATGAACAATCTCAAATGGATGTAGACTCTGAAGAACCGGCGGCTAGCAGAGTTGAAAGAAATGATGATATTTTTGACGAAACTTCAAAAGAAAATGAAGGACAAGATATTGAAATGACTGACATTTCGCAAAAAGAAAAGCCAAAAGAAAAAGACAAATTCGATGAATTATTTGAGAGTACAAGGAAATCAACCAATGTTCAATCAATGGATACTGAAGAATATGAGAAAGATAATGAATCGCAACAAGAATCTGAAGCAGAACCGTTAGCTGAAAGCCGCGACGAGCCGGATACTACACTTCAAACTGAGTCTGCGGAAAATGCAGAAAACGAAAGCGAAATAACCGAAACTCAAACTGAAAGTAAGCAAAAATAAAATTTTATAATTTTTTAATTTAAGTATTTACAAGATAAAATATTCAACTCAAATATTTTAATATATACAGATAACAACTAATAAAATTTGATTTCAGATGTGCAAGAAGAAGAACAGGGAGAGTCAGCTGACGTTTGTTTAATCCCAGATAATGATGAAGAGTTAACCGGTGCAGAAAAGGAACAAGCAATATTGGCAAGACAAAATGCCGAAAAAGAGGACGCAGAAAAGGAAGAAGCGGAAAGTGAAGCAACCCGAACTACTACTGAACATGGTAAAGGTAAGTTAGAACTGAATAAAACGTTTTTGTTTTTAAAAAATATTTAAATTTTATCATATTTTATATAAAACGACATACTTCATATCCAAGTTGTATAATCTTAAATTTCATTTAATTTTTTGTAAATCGACATGTAATCATTTTGTAATATGATGTTCTATATAATATTTAAGAGTTACGTTAACAAAACCTTATAGCAGTGTAGAAAATTGTTAAGCTATAAAAATTGATGAGTTTATTACTATGATAAAGTGATATAATGTGATGTGAAAGTGAAATGTGATTTAGATGTAATTAATGCTGTTCTAATATTTATAGACATAGTTATCTAATAACAATTAATTGGTAAGTTTTATAGACTACTTTTTTAAAAATTTTATTATATATGTATATACCAAGATTGTACACTATTTTATTTTTTAGAAATACATATATGTGGCTGCAGCAAATTGAATCGTTTTTTAAATAATTATATCAGCACAACAATGGTAATTTTGTTCAGTTATCTGTCCCATTTTTTAAAAGTGTATATTTGACAGAGCCTTTGAATAAAAATTTTGTTAAAGTATCTTAAAATTTTTATATTAAATTTTTTTTTTAAATATATGTATTCTGGTTTTGCCCATACGTTATCTTCAGTTTTTGATTGATAATTACAAAGATAAGTAAAATCATCACGGCATTTAATTTTACTTTATAACTCTGTTACAAGAATTCATGGGGCAGATGGCTCTATTATTCTCATTTCTAAAATAAACCAATAGTAAACTATTAAACTTCAATTTTTGTTTTCTAATATTTTATTTTAGATAAGAAAAGGAATTCGGTTTTATTTCTTGGAAAGATTCAGATACTTTAAATTTGAAGCAGTAAGGAGTTAATTTACAATAAGTCAATATTCTCATTATGTACTTGTATGCAATTTATTTTAAATAAACAAATTAAAAGATAAACATTCTTTTTAATATGTATGGGGAAAGCCAGTCAAAAAAATTTTTCTAATTTGAAAGCCTTTAAAAATAAACTGTCAAAAATATACAAAAATATAGTATACAAATTATTTTAGGATTATATTTATATATAAGTATATTATATTTTTTATTTTTATATATTACATATTTTTTTTTCTTGTAGAAACGCAAGAGCCAAATGAACTACAAACTATTGACGACACAGTCCTTGAACTCGATGTGAGAAACGACCAAGAAGGTCAAGCTGAAATATCTTTACCTACGAAAATCGCTATAACATCAATAATTCATACTGATGAAACATGTGTGAAATGCAATGAAAAAAGAAGTTGTGAATTTCGATATAAATCTGACGAAAATGAGCCATATGTATATATTTGCAGCCAAGAGTGTGGTGATGCTTTTATCGATAAAGAAAGCGACAAATATTTTATAAGAAAGCGCAAATTTATTGTAGAAGATTTAATTGAACCCAAAACGGAAGCTTGTATTTTATGCAAAGAAGTTAAGGAATGTAAATACACTTTTAAGCAAGATGAGGATTCAATATATATATGTGGTGATGACTGCTATAATCTTTTGTCCAAAGAAGAACCTGATAAATTAAAATTAAAGAGAAACTCAATTCGTGTTAAAAATTTAAGCTCCGAAATCACGCAGGATCAGGCAACGAAATCAAGTACACCGGAACTGAAAATTATAGCCAGAACGGCACATGAAGCTGAATTGGCAAAGTTAGATAGGGATGCCAGTTTTGAACGTAGATGTTCAAATTGCTTGATGTCATTACATGTGTCAGCAGAAAATCTTATATGGGAAACAATGGATTTTTGTAGTCAACTTTGTCTGAGTAAATACCAATACTCTATTGGTGAAAAATGCCGAACATGTACGCGTTCGGTTTCTCAAGCAAGTCTTGGAAAATATTGCGTTCGTTTTGGATTTGAAATTTGTCAATTTTGCTGTGCAGCTTGTTTAGATAAATATAAAAAAAGTTTAAAAAATTGCTCATATTGTCAAAAAGATATTTCAAAGACCAATGAAGGATTTTTAGCTCCTGTTGGAGACAATGAACAATTTAAGGATTTTTGTAGCCAGCATTGTATGAAAAAATATGACACCTCAATGAATCCAAAAAGAAAAACAAAAATTGAGCAATGTTCTGTATGTAATAACAAAAAAATGGTACAAGTAGAACTAATGTTGGATGGACGTGGTATAAATTTTTGTTCCAGTCCTTGCTTTTCTGCCTTTAAATTTGTAAATAATATAATACCAGATAAATGTGGTTTATGTTCAAAGCATTTTGAACGTAAATCAATTGAACATTTCACAATTCATAATGGAAATACTGCACAAATATTTTGTGGAAAAATTTGTATGAATATGTTCATAACTCAAAATAGGAAAATTGTATTTTGTCAATGGTGCAAAGTAAAAAAGTATAATTTTGACATGATCGAAAAACAATCCAACAATACTAACGAAAAACTAATGTTTTGTTCACTAAATTGTCTAGTTTTTTATGGAGTTTCTTTAAATAGAATAGCAAAACAGAAAGTGAAATGTGATTATTGTTTATCAGAAAAGTCACCACAATATCATCTGACAATGTCTGATTCAACTATGAGAAATTTTTGTACTTATCAATGTGTCATGCAATTTCAAAGTAGATTTTCTTCGACACCACTTACACTAGATAGTGCAACTAATCGTCAGAGCAGTATAAGCGATTTGGAAGAAAATAGTAGAGGAGATTTACCTGTTCCAACTGGTCTACCAAAAAGGATCAAATCAAACGTAAGTTCTGTGCAATCTTTGCAAGTTCCCCTAACAGCTACGCAACCAACAATACCTATTATTGCAAATATTACGTCTTTGGCTTCAGAATCTACAGCTCGTAAAAAAAATCGGGCTCGTTCAAAAAATAACATTGAAATTACATATCCACAAATTACGCAAAATCTGTCTCAACATCGTTCATATGGATCACAAATTCATTCATCAAAGTCTTCGGTTATGTATACGGCCCCAAAACCAAAAATACCTAAAAGAACTATAGGAACAACGACAAAAGAGCCTGCGAATAAAACATTTGTTGTTGAACTACCACCAGATCCAAAATTAAAATCCAATATGAATACCCAATGTGTACCGATAACAGAAACAATAGGAGTCACATGCAAACCTGAATCTTGTGATTCTGAAATTCAAACTGATAGCGATTTAAGGTCGAAAAAATTGATTCCAGTTCCTGTGCCGATTTATATACCACAACCTTTACAAGGATTTCCTTTGCCCAGGCCAATCCCAATTCCATTTGCGTTTCCAATACCAGTTCCCATATTTATTCCTACAACAAAAAATAGTGCACAAGGTATTATGAAGGAAATAAAGAAACTTCAAGATAAAATGCCAGCTGACCCTTATGAAGCTGAGCTTTTAATGATGGCCGAACTAGTAGCTAGTGATAAAAAAAAGGAAGAAGAATCGGATGAAGAAGCCAACGACGTTTCTTATAATAATGATAATTCTTATGGAGAGGATGTTCTTCAAATGGCTTTAAAAATGGCAACAGAATACGATGAACCGCAATCGGATGATTTAAGTTCCGCCATAAATAACGACAATTCCAATTTAATGTACCATCAAATGCAAATAAATCAAAGGTAATTTTGTTTGATCTTATCAACAATATAAAACAATTAAACAGAAAATTAATTTTTTAGAACAAACCGTGGCAAAAAAAGAATAAGTCCAACAAATAATATACCGAGAGAAAATAATGTTCAACCAACAATTAAAAAACGTCGTCCCTCGGAAGACCCGGTTGTGGTTACGCCTAGTCAAACTGCCCCAACTGAAAAACCAGACGCAAATATGTGTCTAAAATACACATTTGGTGTTAACGCTTGGAAACAATGGGTTATGACAAAAAATGCAGAAATAGAAAAGAGTACAATAAGAAGGAAACCATTCAAATCAGAGTTGCTGCAAATGACGGCTGATGAATTAAGTTATTCGCTTTGTTTGTTTGTAAAAGAAGTGCGAAAACCTAACGGGACAGAATATGCTCCAGATACTATTTACTATTTAGTTTTAGGTTAATATTTTTCTTTAAATTTTAAGTAATATACTAAATTTTAAATTTTATAGGAATCCAGCAATATTTATACGAAAATGGAAGAATAGATAATATTTTCACCGATCCATATTATGAAAGATTTACAGATTGTTTAGATGAAGTTGCGAAAAAATTTTCTATATTGTATAATGATTCTCGTAAGAAAACTCGAATATTTAATATTTTTAATATTTTTCATTACTAAAGTGTCCTGTTTTTCTTTAAGAATATATTGTTACACGTGTAGAAGAAGAACATTTATGGGAATGCAAACAATTAGGAGCTCATTCACCTCATGTTTTATTGAGTACTTTGATGTTTTTCAATACCAAACATTTCAATTTAACGGTAATTTTTATATTTATGAATTTTTTTATATATATGAATACTTATAAAAATATTGTGATAAATTAAAGACTGTAGAAGAACATATGCAATTGTCATTTTCTCATATTATGAAACACTGGAAAAGAAATCCGCAAGGAGCAAAACAACCTGGTTCAAGAAATGTCCTTTTGAGATTTTACCCACCTAACACAGGTCAAGGTAAGCTTTCTATTTACTTTTTTATAAATTAGTTTTTTTTTTAATTTATGTGAGTTATTGCAGCAGATAACAAAAAGAAAAAAGTTTATGAGCAACAAGAAAACGAAGCCAATCCTTTAAGATGTCCAGTCCGATTATATGAATTTTATTTGTCAAAATGGTATAACATAATTTTGTTTAGAAAATAATATTCATAATAGTTTACTTGATAATATAATTCGAAGTGATTTCACAAAAAAATTCTCTTTATAGCCCCGAAAGTGTTAAAACCAGAAACGATGTTTTTTACTTACAACCCGAACGTTCATGTGTACCAGATTCACCTGTTTGGTATTCAACACAACCACTCAGTCAAGATAGTTTACAGAAAATGCTACATCGCGTCAAAATGGTTAAAGAAATAAATGTTGCGCTATTAACAATATAAGATAAATTCAAATTAATTTTAAGCATTAAAGAAGTTTATTATCGTACAAAAATGGAATACTAAATACAACATGAAAAAAAACAAAAAAAAAAATAATATTTTTCTATATATATTATATTTTAAGAATATGTATATGTATGTAAAATTGAATTCCGGGAATGTAATCTAAATTAAATGTTCTGATTTGCAAAAATCACGGCAAGCCATGTTGTAATTTAATTTGTATGCTTGCAATGTTTAGGCATATATTTCATATTCATAAAAGATCGGAACCATAATTAAACAATATGTGTATGCGTGTATATCCATATATATATATATATAATATTCATAGCCATATATATGTATATATATTCATAGAGATAAATGCAGATATATTAACTTGTTTAGGTTATGATAGTGATTGTTTAAAAATATTAAAATGAAATTATTTAAAAAATAATACTTCAATTGAAATTTTATGTAAGTAACCCGTACGCATACCTAAAAAATTAATGAAAATTTTTTAAATTTGCATAGGTATTTCCAATTTAATTTATTCAAAAGTTTAATCCTGACATTTGTAGTAAAAGTAAAATTCCTTGGGATGTGTCTTAAAAATTTTAAAAAATTGCACATGTATACGGGATGAATACTTGTACATAATTGCTTAATTTTCTTAACCATAATATTTTTTTCTATTTGCTGAAACTTATTTTTTTGACTATATCGAGTATGATATCGATTTTTCGTTCTGTACCATTATAATATATTAAAACTTATAATGAAAAGATTTTTTCTTTTTACTGCATTGAGGAATATGTCGATAAATTGCAATTTGTAATGAGTTTATTTTAATGTAATAAAATATAAAAAATTTATTTGTTTCTAGCAGAAAGTTTACTAAATAATTTATTATGTTGAGATTTTCTATATTTTTTGGAATTTCAGGAATTAATATACATAACTAGATTCTATCTAACTTCTATTTTATAAGCTAATAAATAATATAATATAAAAATCTTTTTTAATTTCCATGTAATGACATAAATCACATTACCGGAAAAGTAAAATCAAATAAGAAAAATTGTAAAAGTGAATTAAAATAAATTTCAATTTAAAAAAGTTTTTAAAATTTTTTAATTTTGTCTAGGAAATTTACTTATTAAGTAAAAGTTGTTTTTGTTTATTACTATTTTTATTTTATAAATATAAATAAAGATAATTTCCAATTAATTGAAGAAGTTTATATTTTTTGCGTACATATAAATATGAATACTCACATCGATTAGTACTTTATTTATTTAATTACAACTATTTATTTATTTAGTTGCAAAAAAAAAGCTGCATTTTGGTATAGCAGATTAAAATATATCTAATCGATTCTTGGGATTTTTATTGGAAAATCCTAAATTTAATTAGGTTTTAATTTAGGTTCTATTTTCGCTCAATTTTTATTTCTTCATATTTTTAGATTTTACTACTTTTTTTTTAATTTCAATAGATGCTCAAGTTCAACTAGTCGAAACGCAAGATGAAGTTATTATTGAAGATGATGAAAACAAAGCCTCAAACGAAGCATCGAAAAGTCAAGAAGCTGCTTTGTCAAAAACGATCATTTCACTGGTTGTAGGCACTGATCAAACCTGCAGTCAATGTAATCAGAATAAAAATTGCGAATATCGTCTTAAAGACAATGAAACAGGAGAATATATTTATATATGCGAACAGGAATGCATTGACAAAATTATGGGTGAAAACAACGACAAATATTTATTACGTAAACGTAAATTTATGATAGAAGATTTATCTGAAGAAAAAGTAGAAAATTGCCTTGTTTGTCAAACAGAAAAAACGTGCAGTTTTTATTTTAAACAAGATGAGGATTCCCTATTCATATGCAGTACAGAATGTTTTAAATCTTTAGACTCAAAAGAACCTGATAAATTGCGTATGAAGCGTAATTCTATACGAGTAAAAAATTTGGGCGGAGTAAGTATGTCTCAAAGTGAAACTCCCGCCGATTTGAAAATTGTTGCACGTACGGCACATGAAGCAGAATTAGCAAAATTAGAACGTGAAACTAGTTTTATGCGTCGTTGTGTTGGTTGCAATCAAGAACTTCAATTTAGCCGAAATAATTTAAAATGGCAAACTTTAGATTTTTGCAATCAGCTTTGCTTAAGCAAATATCAGCAAATGATTGGTTGTAAATGTCGTATGTGCTTTGGACCTGTTTCACATCCCAGTCTTGGAAAGTATTGTGTACGATTTGGATTCGAAATATGTCAATTTTGTTGTGCAACTTGTTTAGATAAATACAAAAAAAGTTTGAAAAATTGTTCTTATTGCCAGAAGGACATCTCTAAAACAAGTGAAGGATTTCTAGCACCAGTTGGAGATAACGAGCAGTTTAAAGATTTTTGTAGTCAAAATTGTATGAAAAAATATGACATATTGACCAATCCTAAGAAGAAAATACGAAATGAACAATGTTCTGTTTGCAATAATAAAAAGGTTGCTTATGTGGATTTGTTTATTGATGGCCGAGAAATAAATTTTTGTTCAAATCCATGCTTTTCCGCTTTTAAGTTTGTTAATAATGTTGCACCAGACAAATGCAATTTGTGCTCAAAATATTTTGAGAGAAAATCTACTGAGCACTTCACAATTTATGAGGACAGTATTGCGAAAATTTTTTGCAATAAAATTTGTTTTAACATGTATATTACAAGAAATCGAAAAATCGTTTTTTGTCAATGGTGTAAGGTTAAAAAATATAATTTTGATATGATAGAGCGTGCACCCAACGAACTATCAGATGGAGTTATTATGTGCTCTTTAAATTGTTTAGTTTTGTATGAAGTTTCCTTAAACCGAATAACAAAACAAAAAATGAAATGTGACAATTGTTTAATGGAAAAAACACCGCAGTATCATTTGACAATGTCAGATTCATCAATGAGAAATTTTTGCACTTATCAATGTGTTATGCAATTTCAGAGCCAATTTTCAACAACGCCCTTAACTTTAGAAAACGAACCTAGTTCACTTACGCAAAATAAATCAGGAACATATGATAGTCAAAGTCCCTTTCCTACTGGACTTCCGAAACGTATCAAAGCGAGTCAGAGCGCTGTTCAAACTTTACACATTTCTCCAAAACAACCAACAATGCCTGTAATTTCTAATATTACATCATTAGCAAACGAAGCTCAAAGGAAACCTAATAAAAGGCCATCAAATGGATCACAAGCAAGGCAGCAATCTCGTGGATACAGCACAAACCGGTTGACCTCACAAACTGTCGCAACATTGTCTGTTCAGTCAACATTACATGATTTTAGTCCTTTACCAACTTATAAAAATAGTGTTGGAACTATGACAACAGAAACAAATGTCAAAACAACTATAATTACAATTCCACCAGTTCCTCCGAAGATATCAAACAAAAGAATAATGTGCAAACCGGTTACTGAAACGAAAGGTATTACTTGTAAACCACTTTCATTTAATACCGGTGTGCAAACTGATGAGGATATGACAGCAAAAATATTAATTCCTATACCCGTCCCAATTTATGTACCTCAGCCATTACATATGTACTCCCTGCCATTTCCAGTTCCTGTTCCCGTACCTTTACCTATTCCCATACCAATATTTATTCCAACGACTAGAAATTCCGCAAATGGCATTTTAAAAGAAATTAAAAAAATTCATGATAAAATGCCTTCTGATCCGTTCGAGGCTGAGTTGCTGATGATGGCCGAAATGGTAGCTGGGGACAACAAGAAAGAAGAATCGGATTCAGACGATGAAGATGAAGCACCTGGACTTCCAACCGAAAATTATAATAATGATGAAATTGTTACCACAAATAATGCTTATGGTGAGGATGTCTTGCAAATGGCATTGAAAATGGCAACTGAATATGACGAACCTGCTGTTGATTTAGAGTCAGCAATGACTGCTAGTACTATAACGCAACCCCCACCAGGAACCCAACCAGCACCCGAAGAAATGGAGGAGGATGATCAATCTATGCTTTATCAAATGGCAATCCAGACAACCCCGGGGTAATTGGTTAAATTTGTAAAACAAAATATCTTGCACTTCTAATAAAAATTATATATCCGAATACCGCTAATATTTATAATATTTTTTATAACATTAAAGAACTAGAGGTCGAGGTCGAAAACGCACCAATACCCCTAGAGGGGGAGGAGCAAAAAGAGGTCGTCGCAATGATTCCACACTTCATCAACCTGTTGAAACAGTACCTGTTCAAGCATCGCAACCTATAGTTCCAGTAGAAAAACCGGATGCTAACATGTGTCTCAAATACACATTTGGTGTTAACGCTTGGAAACAATGGGTTATGACGAAGAATGCTGAATTAGAAAAAAGTCCTGTCCGACGAAAACCTTTTAAGTCTGAATTAATGCAAATGACGGCTGATGAATTAAATTATTCACTTTGTCTATTTGTAAAAGAAGTTCGGAAACCAAATGGAACCGAATATGCACCAGATACAATTTACTATTTAGTACTTGGTAAGATTTAATTTAATTTTTTATTCATTAAGTCTCTATTTATTAAATAATGATAGGTTTATATTTGTTAAAGTAAAAATAACTGCTATAGGTACGAGTACTAAACTATCATAATAAATACATGATTTATAAATAAACTTATAATAAGTAACACATTTAAAATAATTTCTCTAATGTAATAAAAATTGCAGGAATACAGCAGTATCTATATGAAAATGGAAGAATAGATAATATATTTACAGATCCATACTATGAAAGATTTACAGATTGTTTAGATGAAGTTGCTAGAAAGTTTTCCGTGTTATACAATGATTCTCGTAAATATCATTATATATTTTGTAAATTTAAGATACAAAAGTAAAATTATTCGTTTTTTAGAATACATTGTTACTCGAGTGGAAGAAGAACATTTATGGGAATGTAAACAATTAGGAGCCCATTCACCCCATGTTTTACTAAGCACTCTTATGTTTTTTAACACGAAACACTTCAATTTAACGGTGAATTACGTTTAATATGCCATAACTTAGATTTGTTTGATAAACTTCTTTATTTAGACGGTGGAAGAACATATGCAACTATCATTTTCTCATATTATGAAACACTGGAAACGTAGCCCTCAGGGTACTAAACAACCTGGTTCTAGAAATGTGCTGTTAAGATTTTATCCACCTCAAGCAGCTCAAGGTAATTTTAAAAAATAGTTTACTTAAAAAAAGATGTATATTTTAAATACATACATACATATTTGGTAATTATTTTTGATATTTTCAGACTCCAGAAAGAAAAAAGTATATGAGCAGCAAGAAAATGAAGCAAATCCATTAAGATGCCCCGTAAGATTGTACGAATTCTATTTGTCAAAATGGTACTTTCAAATTGTTTTAATTTTTGTTTTTTGTGCTTAACATGTTTTGTCTTTATTTCATAAGTCCGGAGAGCGTAAAAACAAGGAATGATGTATTTTATTTGCAACCAGAACGTTCGTGTGTACCAGATTCCCCCGTTTGGTATTCAACACAACCACTTACGCAAGATAGTTTACAAAAAATGTTGCATCGTGTAAAAATGGTTAAAGAAATTAATGTTGCGATTTTAAACATATAATATATATAACCATAAGAAATGTGAAATAAAAGAACTTGGATATAGCATTAGTTTTAAGTGTTCGGAAAACAACAAAAAAAAAATTAAAAACTCGTTTTTTTTTTTTAAGTGCTTCTTTAAAATATTTACCATAATTTTGATTTCAAAAATTTCATTGTTTGCTAAATAAAATCTTAAAAGTTTATTTTTAAATGTGTAAAGAAAAAGTTTAAGAAAGTTTTATAAATTTATTGTTATTTGGCTTCTATCTAATTTTTACGAATTTTTTATTTGATTACAAAAGATAAACGGAAGTAATCCTAAAATTTATTTTCTCCAAAAATAATTGAAAAAATAATATTTCATATTTAAAACAAATTTATATTAATAGGAAGCTGTGTATTTTATTGATAACTACTAAGTTTTAAG